GGGGGACATTGGGGACATTGGTGGGACATTGTGGGGGACACTGGGGACGCGTCATCATCAGGGACATCGGGGGGACACCAGCGGGACACGGCCATCGGGTGCCACCACGCAGGTGCCACCACGCCGCGTCCCCGCCGTGTCCCCGCAGGTGATCACCCTGAGCACGTCCCCCGCGCCCACGGCCACCTCCCCCGTCACCACCACTGTCCCCAGCGTGCAGCCACTGGTCAAACTGGTGTCGGGTCCCGCCGTCCCCGGCGCCGCCGCCACCGGTGCCAGCGGCGGTGCCAGCGGCGGTGCCAGCGGCGCCGTGCAGAAGTACATCGTGGTGTCCCTGCCCGCCGCCGGGGACGGCAAAGGTGCCACCGCCCCCAGCGCCCCCGCCCCGCACATGTCCCCAAGTGCCACCGGCGGCTCCCCGGTGGCCGCCGCGCCCAAGGCGGAGGTTGGGGACAGTCCCCAAGGGCCGGCGGCCACCGCTGTCACCTTGGGCAAAGCCAACGGGACCCCCGGGGCCGGGACACAGGAGGCACCGGGCGGGCAGTGACAGGGACAGGGGTGGCACCGGGGTGGCACCAGGGTGGCCTCGAGGTCCCCAAGGTGGCCTCAGGGTCCTCAAGGTGGCCCCAGGGTTCCCGAGGTGGCCTCAAGGTCCCCAAGGTGGCCTCAAGGTCCTCAAGGTGGCCCCAGGGTCCTCAAGGTGGCACCGGGGTGGCCCCAGGGTCCCTGAGGTGGCCCCAGGGTCCCCAAGGTGGCCTCAAGGTCCCCAAGGTGGCCTCAGGGTCCCCAAGGTGGCCCCAGGGTCCTCAAGGTGGCCTCAAGGTCCCCAAGGTGGCCTCAAGGTCCTCAAGGTGGCCCCAGGGTCCCCGAGGTGGCCCCAGGGTGGTCCCGGGGTGGTCACAGGGTGGTCCCCAAGGTGGCACTGGGGTGGTCTTGGGGTCCTCAAGGTTCCCAGAGTGTCCCCGAGGTGGCCCCAGAGTGTCCCCAGGGTGGTCCTGGGGTCCTCAGGGTGTCCCCGTGCTGGTCCCGGGGTGTCCCAGGAGTCCCCAGGGTGTCCCCAAGGTGTCCCCAGGGTGTCCCCAAGGGCAGGCAGCCACCCCCAGGCTGGGGACAAGGGGCTGGGGGTCCCCAAAGTGTCCCCAAAGTGTCCCCGGGTCCCTCTGTGGGGACAGGGGGTGGCCTGAGGGTCCCCAGAGTGTCCCCAAAGTGTCCCCGAAGTGTCCCCGTGGGACCCCACGATGTCCCCGGGGCTGTGCGGAACTCAATAAACTCCTCCCAGTTCCTCCCAGTTCCTCCCAGTTCCTCCCAGTTCCGTGTCACGTGGGCGGGGGGAGGGGTCGCGGGGTGGGGGGAGGAGCAGCCAATGGGAAGGGGGGAGGGGCGG